TAAAAGTTTACCCCTCTCATTTTCGTTTCAGGCCGTCTCTTCGCAACGTATCTACGCTCATCATCTACTCTCACAATGCACACATCACCTCCGACCTCTATTACAGTTCCTAATCTCGTCTCATTATTTACAACACCCTCAAATGATGACAGCCATGATTCGATAGTCGGAATCACAGGCAGTTTGGATATCTCACATGTACATCTCCCTGTTGGTACACAACGCGATAGTTCTCCTGTCATGCTTTCCCTTCATTCTCACCATCGCCTCCCGCTCGATGCCCAGCCAAGCCTGATTCAACCTGTAGATCCGATGGCCTGGGGGATGAAAAATGAATGGGTAGAGCATGACGCTCTTCTGAGTATATCTGAAGAGGGGGAGCTTGCGTTTTGGGTTCTTGAAGAACGGGAGGTGGTATTAGGTATTTTAACATCACCGTCACATAAGGATAACCCTGGTTGGAGGTGTACTGGTAAGGTCAAAACTGGTCGACAAGGGATACGGAAAGCGAGATGTAGCTCCGCGAAAAAAACTGCACTTAGTATGTATTTCATATAATCGTCATCCAGTTGCTTACTACACTACATGGTATCCACCAGTCACTCCTTGTTCAGATGGTGACGAACTGACGATTTGGGACTCGAAAGAGTCTGAATTCGCGTCAGGCTTAGAGTTCCGCTGTACGTATAGGTCAGTTTTCAATCCCTTTCAGCAAAAAGCTTGATTTGAACCATCAATTCAGTCAGCCTATCAATGACTTGGATTGGACCTCTACACCCGATATGCAGTCAATTCTTGCAGTTGGTTTCTTACATCACGTAGAGCTTCTGTGCCAGCAGCGCATGACATATTTCGATGAAGATCCTGGCTGGTCAATGTGTTGGAAAATAGACATAGGAAGGTTTGTTATATCCTTTCTGTACCTTATTATCGTGGTTAACGTGCAACGTAGTTTCATCCCATACCCCATTAGCGACTCTATCTGGCTGGCAAACAGCTCGCTCCTCATTGGCGCCGGGCACCAAATGCTACTTTATGGACCACCAAAACACCCATCCAAAAATACAGAGAGCCTTTTTGAATACGTTGCCCGACAAAACGGCCCTCTCCCAGATTATCATCCACAGATGCTCTTACAGTGCCTGTTGTGGGGTAAGTTGTTCATCTTTGGGTATACGCGTACTGAAGTTATAAACAGAAAAGATCGAGCTGGTCAAAGATATCATTGCTAACCTTGCAAAAGATTTGGAAAATGTTGATTCTCGGAGATCGTGGGCGTCGGTGCCTGTTGAGCGGTTTTTCAGTAAAGGACAGTCGGTGAGTAATTTTGGGGTTGTTTGTATACCTATTGACCATATAGTCCTGTAGAACCGCAAGCACCAGAAACGATATACTATGCTCTTCGATGGGCCACAAGAAACTAAGTGCGTGGTAATGTGGTAATACTCATCTTTCAAACATGCTTCAACTGTATCTTTCAGCGAGGACGAAGGCTTTTGTCGTCCCTTGGTGACCAAACTGATTGAAAGTCTCGAATCTCAACCATTGCCACATCTTACTCCCAATGAGTGTGCGAGTCTGATTGTTTTAATACAGACTACCCTTGAGGTATAAGCCCTTGAGCTTCTCTGAGATCTGCTAACTTATTTTGCTCAGATCGATGAACAACGTCGATCCCTCGACTCAAATGGCCTCCGCTACCTGATCTCGATGCGGTCGTTCTATATCGTCAACGACCGCGCGTCAAAGCCTTCCAGCTCAGATTCTCCGAATAGTAGCGCACGCAATACTGGAAAGAGAGAGCGGCTGCGATACCGGGATATGGTCTGGGCGTTTCATAGCGAAAGTCAGGATATTTTACTAGGCGCTTCTTCCGCTGCCTGTAACAACAAGATGTGCTGGTTTGATGCAAGGGCATTGGGAATCTCCATCTGGTTAAATTCCATTGAATCATTGGTCAGCCATCTTCCAGTCTAAATTCCGAGTGATTTCTGAAGCGAAACGACAGAAATCCCAGATGGAGGTTATTGCAAGAAATGAATTTATGAATGGTGATATCCGTGACCCTACAGCTTGCTCGTTATTCTATTTCGCTTTAGGGAAGATAAAGCTCGTCCACGGGCTCTGGAGACAAGCTGCCTGGCACAAGGAGCAATCTGCCATGCTGAGATTCCTTTCAAATGACTTTACACAGGCCCGATGGCGGACAGCAGCGCTGAAAAACGCGTTTGCTCTTTTGGCTAAACAGCGGTTCGGTGAGTTCATGGACTAACCGAGTTGTTTTCCAAGCTTACTGACGTCGTCATGTAGAATATGCAGCAGCATTTTTTCTTCTAGGAGGCTCTCTAAAGGACGCCGTAAACGTCTGCCTCAAACAACTTCAAGACTTTCAACTTGCCCTTGCGATCGCGCGTGTTGTGGAACAGAGTAATGAAGGCCCAGTATTTTGTGGCATTCTGAACGGCACTGTACTCCCTACTGCTTTCAGAGAAGGGAATAGATGGTTGGCTAGTTGGGCATTCTGGTTACTACATCGGCGAGATCTCGGTGTCAGAGTTCTTATAGTAAGTTCTACTAAGTTCAATTGAGAGTTGACCCAATTCTCCTCGCCCAGACGCCACTACAAGACCTTGCTAGTATTTTGGACATTGTCGTTAAAGAAATCGGGGAACCTCATTACGACGACCCCAGCCTGGCACTGTTATTCTCTCAGTTAAGATCGAAAACTCTTCAGGCAGCCAAAGGGAACAGCGAAATCTCAGGACGACTTGAGTTTAACTTTGTCTTACAGATTGCCCGTGTATTTTGCAGAATGGGTAAAACCTTGTTGTCTTTTCTTTCAAGGCATTGCTTGCTTAACGAATAATAGGTTGTCATATCCTGGCTCTTGATCTCGTTCAATCATGGTCTTTCGAACGACCCACTGGCGCACCCCGCGGCCTACCTCATCAAAATGGCGACGCTTCTTTTTCACCACCCGGTAGTCCGGTTACACGCCGATCTGGATTTTCACTGGCGCCTTCATTGCGTCGTAAATCCTCAATTATGATTGATATGGATATTCCATCCTTGCCTCCAACGCGCGCTGTTTCTCCCGAAGGTAAACCACCAAAGATTACTGTCATTCCAGAAGAGCCTGTTCCAGACGCGGGTGATTTGAAAGCGAGGAAGGCGGATCTGGGTAGCCTAATGAAGTCGGCCAAACAGGATGTCCAAGTTCCTGAATTTGATATGGGTGCTTTCAACTTTTAAATGTTCATCCTATAGCTTGGAATTCAACGGCTTGTCCACACATTTTGAGGCCGCGATCTTGTGCAGAAGGATTTTGAGAAGGGCTCCTATAGTTTTAGCTTAGCACATGAAGTAAATTTTTACAGATACTGGACTTAGAAGCAGAAGAACTTCTCATCATTAGAGGTTGTCCTCTCGCGCGATATAATCTACGCTTACTCTTATGATGCAGATAGAACTCCTATTCTGGATTTTACTGGCTGTAGGTCCTCAGTTGTGATATTCATCCGAAGACTACTACTATAGTACTCCGAAAGCTGGAGCCCGGAAGTTTGATACGGTACTTCCAGCTTTTCTGTCCATTACGAATTTTGAATTGTAGAGCCGCTGATAAGTAAAGTATGCAACTCTGCGAGCTGTCTAAAAGATCACGACCTTTTTTGCTGTCCCAGAAGAGGTCACACGCGAAGCGTCAGCCTTCATACGTTGAACTTGTTCGACATGTTTATCGCGCCGATCAAGCTCCTGCTTTCTTCGACCGAGCGTATGGAAATCGTCTTCATCCGCCCCGACATGCTTTTCTTCTAAGCCTAGCACCGCAGCTAATGAGCCAGTATCTACAAGCAATTTTAGTCAAGGACCAGAGTTTGAGTGATGTTATCGACCTTTCTTTCGAATGGAACAATCCTTTGCGAGGTGTGTAATGTCTCCACAAAGCTTACAGCTACCACCATTTGGATATATGCCTTTGGACTTGTTTTGAGGGCACGTAGATGCTAAATGACCTTGATTACTGCAAACGAAACAGTGTGCCCAAGGCAGAGGGTTCGAAGGGTCCTCAGGTTTTTTACAACGTGATAATGAGTGTCTGGTAGAACCACATCTATTCAGATTCTTCAGTGAAAGACGGGGAATGAATGAAGAAATTTGCGCACCTGTAGCACATCCCAACCTGTTTCGAGCTTGAACTTCCGCCATTTTCATTCTTCGGACAATCTTTAGCTGCGTGACCGCGTTCACGACACGCATAACAGATAGTGTCTGCGTTTTTTTCCTCTATTCGTTTCAGACGTCGTCGTTCCGATGGAGAGATATCTAGAGCAAGGTAAACATCAAGCTGTTATTGAGAAAAAGCTTGGATACATTTTTTGTCTCTCTTTTTTTTTGCTTTCGGGGACGATGTATCTGTGCTAAATGACTTTTCCTGTGGAGGTTTGCTGAGCTCAGTTCCGTCTGGGGCAGTTCCCATAGGCCGGGTGCCATGTCCATCTCGTTTCGATTTTGGTGTTCGTTTTCGTTTCTTCTTGGGAGGCTGAGCACCGGCTCCAGAATCTTCTACAGTTGGAGCCTCCGGTGTTAGGGTTTTCACGCTACCGCCAGCGTCATTTTCTGCCTGAGATTCGAGATATGTGCGCTTGCGGCCAAAGTTCGTTATGCGTGTCATTATAAAGAGTCCTTGTCTTTAGACGCCCATAGCATTGAGATGGTCTTCTACACTTCAACTCAATCGATGAGCTTTCAAATTTCACGCGCACGACTGATGATGGTTTTTCCAATTATTCTACGATTTCGTGATACACGAATGTCGTTGGGATCGTCGTGCGTAGACTGGGAGTTCATTATATGTTGTATAAAAATTTATCAGCTGGGCCTAGCTGGGCTTCGCGAGATCGTATCTTTGCATGCCATACATTAGGCTCAATCAAACTAAACTAAATTCCCATCCAGCAGCGTCATAAATGCATGCAAAAAAAAAACTTTGCTATCTATGACCACCGCAGGGGTCGAACCTGCAATCTCCTGATGACGATCCTCGTCGTAGTCAGACGCGATGCCATTTCGCCAGGCGGCCATACTAAAGTGCACTTTTACGCTGAACTTCAACTGGTATCTTCATAGTGAGTTGAGAGACAGCAAGTTGATACATGTTCAAGCTTCGTTACTGTAGCACAAATTTCACGTTTAATGTAGGATCAAATGACTACTCGCTTCAAAGCGCTCGACATGTAAGTAGCTCTGTTATTGCACCATTCATATTTGCCAATCACTACTGGTGGGTTCCTGCTCTCCCACACGTGCCTCAGTCCCTCCGGGCAAAAGAATAAGGTTCGCTTCATCATTGTCCTTGCCGTCCTCGCCTGCAAAAGTGTACCTGCGTACTTCTGCATTGGCCCAAGCCTGTATCCACAAGGTGAGCCCAGGTAAAGCCACGAGCTTGATCAAAACCCACCTGAGAGTAAGGCGCCTTGACTATTCTTCTAAGTATGTCCCCGTGGGCAACAACCACGATGTTCTAGTGCAAGGACGAGTTGGCAAACCAAGGAAAGAGAGAGGCAACGCTACTTGCCTGTTCGGGACGATTACGGAGCCACCTACGCACCCAACGAGCTCGTGCTTCCACGACGTCAGGAGAGGGAGAAAAATCTCCTGACTTTGAATTCCAGTCATCTTCGAGTGAGTCGAAATTGATATTTTTGAATTCATCAATCTGCTCGAGCTCATGTCTCGAAGAACCAGTATCACAAGGAAAATCGTTAACCTCTTGAAGGCGTGACAGCACGATAAGAGGCTGTACGGATACCATTAATCGATTGCATTTATCAAGGTTCCATTAGCACCTTGGGAGGCTCTTGGCTTTCAAGACGGGCTCTAAGCCCTCGATATCCAATTATGGTGGTTTGCAAGGTTCGTTTAAGAGGACTGGACACCAGGAGATCTGCAGATGCTTGGAGATCTCCAGTCTTGGTGAATAGTTCTTCGGCTTGGTGTCTGTATAGCCTAAGATGGTGGTCGCCATATTAAATATCAACTGACCTTCCGAGGGGTGTCAAAGGCGCATCTAGAATATCGTAGTCCTACAGACGATTTCAGCTTTGAACTAATTATCTCGTACATCTCGTCTCTTATGCACCTCGTTAACATTGTGTTCAGCCTCTGGATATACGTTATCGAGGATCTCAGCAGCTGTTCATCGAAAAGACTTACGAGCATGCCTCGTAAGATGGATAACCTTGCTCATACTGGTATCCAATTTCTAGTGTGTGATCTAAATGCAGTCTACGAGGAGGAAGAAAGAAAATTCTGAGCAAGAGTCAATGCCGATTCGGCTCAGAGCCGATCTCGCCCACGTGGAACATACTTCCAGTTAACTTCACACCTCTTCAATCTATAACCTCTGCGTTACCTCTCTTCTCCACGACTGGCGACATTAACGACCTGATATTATCTACCTTGTGCTTGCTCTTTCGATCTCTAACGAATTGTACAATGTCCTACTCGTGAGTGTTCTTTCGGATCCAAATTGTGCGCGACGCGTCGCGCTCGTTATTTCCAATTTCCGTGCTGATTTCTCATTTCAAGTGAAAGTTCTCCTTCGCGTAGTGGAAAAGGAAAGGCCAAGAAGAGTGCTCACACCAAAGCCACTCGTTCTCCATCAGCCTCCGAGTGAGATGTTCTTCAAGCTGAAAAGAAGGAACGTCATTTTAACGCGTTCAGTAGAATCTCAAAAAACAGTGACCACTTTGAGATGTGGTGTATGCACCAAAATATGGAGAGAGTCGTGTATGACGATATTCCTGACGATTTCAAAAAGGACGTGGAAAAAGTTTTCGATATGAACGGGCGTTTGCCTTTGGCGTGGGTGGACAAGGTTTGTGCACGTCTGTTTCGGATGTTAAGTGGAGACTTCAATCGTTTATACCAGGACTCTAAGGAGTACAAATCATTGTCAACATTTGCCCCGCCATCTTTCATCAGCTTCATCGCTCAAGCATATGAAGAAGAGCCCTCTTTATTTGGCAAAGAAGTTCAGGGTCTTGCGGATCTGTACATGGCCTTGTCAAAGGTATTCAGTGCTTGGAGCCATCTAAAATCTATGCTCAGCTCGGTTGATAAATGGTCAGAGGCTGATTTCACCAATGTGTACGTTGTTTATTTTGATGAACGTTTAAGTTGTTTACAAGTTTGAAACACAGCTATGCTGAATTTCGACGACCTGCCGTTCAGGAAAGCACTACTCGGTGAGGTCGTATTTTGGTCATTGTTCAATCGTCTCACGCAGAGTTTCATAGAATGCAGTGTTGCGTTAGTCTCCCTCAACCATTGCTCGTTCCTCAGAGCTTCGAGGCTGCCCGCATTCTGAGCACGAAGAAATCTATCCCAGACTGTCTTTTGATGATCAGCGCAGAGTCGATCCTCCGCCTTTCTAATTCAGCAGACTCTCCGTTTAAACGACTTAAAAAGCTAGACACAGTGAAGAAAGCCGGTAGCGCAGTCAAGCGCTCGTCATTCGCTTACCAGGCTACTATTCGTGACTTGATTCCAGACAACCCTGGTTTTGAGTTTGTTAGCAGTATATGGGAGGACAAGAAGCCTGTGCACAACTTGCCAGAACATGCTTACCGACAGAACAGGATGTCAACAGCTTCCGCCGCGCGTCACCTTTATTCTATGCGTGTGGACGCACCAGTGTTCGGACTGACATGGGCTTATGGTAGTGTCCGAGCACATGTCGACTGGTGTAGGAGACTGCAACCAGACGAACATCCAGTAGGTCTTCCCTCGTTTAATTGCCAAAATCCTTCATACTTTGCTTTACTAGGTGGTATATTCCGCGCCTTATGTCCGGCCCACCAAGTTTCAAGGTCGGAGTGACGATAAGGATTGCTGTGAATGGCAACTTGGCCGCGTCAGTGACATTCTCCAAGTGCATTTCCTGATTAGCAACATTGACCATTGGACTGGGGGCGAATTTGTTGACCGGGTTGTCAAAGGGATCAGTGCCCTTGAAAAGGGTATTGTGAAGGGCGGAGAAGCTTTCGAGCCATGGAGACGATCCGGAGAGATTGTACCACGCCCTCGGCGGTCTTTCACTGTAATGGAGAGTGCTGAGATATCGGCCAACGTTCTGATGCAGTCCACTCCCCCGAAAGCTAAACGCAGAACGAAAATTCAAGCAATTTATTGAACAGATCTCTATAGCAAGATACACAAGTAGTTAGTAGTTCTGATAAGTAGTACGATATTAATACAGCGACACCTTTTCCTGATACATATTATTTAATTCAAAAGCAAGAGTTCAGAAAAGTTTACTTCCTCCAACTTGAAGGGATTTTTTGAACGACGTTCATCCATGACCCAAGACGACCCTCTTCCCACTCCTCGACGTAGGATAAACCTGCTCTCCCCCGACGTCCTTGCTCAACCTTTAGACGTTTTTCAGCATCACACCAGAACAGGACCCAGTCGCCCATTCGGACATGGCCAGAACTCCGTTCGAAATACCATTTGTTCACCGGATTATTGGCACGACTACGCCATACAAGATCTCGTCCCTCCCCTTGGCCTTCTTTCCCTCCATTAGGATTGGCCGAGAAAGGATGTCCGAGGCCATATGATTCATCATGGAGAGCAACCCATAGGAAATCGACGGTACCATCACCCTGGTGATTGGGTAAGACAGCAAACTTGTCCAAATACGAAATAGGTTGTGACAAGTCTGAACAAGGTTCGTTGGTGACAATCGCAGCGCCAGCATAATCTCCCGCAATAACGACAAAGTCCAGCGTGTGTTTTAAGCGGTCATAGAAGTCTTTCTCTTCTAGGGTGCGACCAAACGACTGCTCTAACAATGCGTTCATTTTGATGCGGTCAATCTCCTCCACCGTTCGGACTACCCGTATAGGCAGACCACGTCGAATCAAGGTAGGAGTGTGCTGCGTAAGTTTCCGATTGCCTTGCAATAAAGCATGTGGAAGACTTGAGCTAACAGCAGGTCTGTTTGTGATCAAGTTGCCTATTAATGAACTCTGGGAACGATGTGAGACCATGACGGCGGAGGATGTAGGGGGCATGTAAGCAAGGCAAGTTTTGGCGAGTGCTAGATTGGATAGCGCGGTTTTGTGTGTATGCCGCCACGACTCCTGGAAGGTCTCGCGAATATGTTTGGATTCAGATTCGACGTTGATTAAGAGATGAGGAAACCCAGCACGAGCGTAGGACGGCACTCCTCCTTCGCGGTTGATTATCATTAAACGAAGAGGGGTGAGATCGATCTCGCCCGAAGCTTCAATTGATGCGTCCGCAGCTGCAGTGGCTTGGGACGACGACGACTTTTGCGACTCGGCTTCGACCATTCCACGAGCAAGCGCGCCAAGGACGTCGTTCGCATCGACCCGAACAGACCGACAAAACGAGTCTAATGCAAACGGAGGAATTACCGGAATTTCACCGGAACGAAGAGCTGAGCGGATGGGAACCAGATCAGACGGAAGAGTATGAGCTTCTAGGGCCACGTCGCGATCAGAGTCTGAATCTCCAGGTTTAGGACCAAGTCGGACTATAGCACCGAGAACAGGACGAGCACGAGCGCCGTGCTTCTCTAGGCAAGACACTAGGCGCATGGTGTCTTCTATAATGACACTCCTCGAATCTTGTTCTCCTCGCTGGATATCATCGTTTTCTACAACAATGACACTTACCAGACCGAGTTTTTCAAGATGTACCATTCCTCGGGCGATACTGTCTAATTGAACCTGGGTAAATGGACCTTGTACCTTGACAAGGGCGGTCCTGCGCACGACAGGATCGATAATGGAAGCAATGAGAGGGCTGACTTTTGGATGTTCTGTGACAACTGCCGGTTCACGAGATTCGACAGGTATCGATTCATCGCGCTGAGGTAAAACTGGGGCAGGACGAGGAGCTTGTGGACGGGGACCAAAAGAAGCGAAATATGGTTTGGCGTCGCGGGATGAAGCATTTGCTCGTAAGATAGAAAGAATAAAGTCCTATGCAAAATGCGATCAGATAAAAAAAATGTATGCAAAGATTTTTGCGAACATTATCTGAGGG